ACACAGAGCCATAGTTCACTGAGAAGCTATGCAAACAGCTGTCATTATCGCGAACGAATTCTGCGATTTTTTTGCGTAACTTGTCAGTGAACTACGGCTATGTGTAGTAAATTCTGCTCCATCTGAAAGCACGTGATGATGATTTCCTTATTACAGAACTGGCTTTACTAACAAAATGCGCATGACAATCGCATTCGATTAATTGTGCAGCCCTACTTTGCGCTTTAGCTACTATAGCTATATATAATCCATTCAGAATTAGAAATTTTCGGGAATGACATCCGCATATAAATGTGGATTCACTCTTGAAATTGCTATAGACGGGACAAAAATATGATACGTCAAACTAGATGTGCATTAAGGCTATAGAGCACCCTCGTTAATGTGACGTACACGGCTGTCTCGAGAGATATTCACCTCAGAGAAGAAAGAGCATGCACATGATTTTATTTCCCTTGATTTCTCAAAATGTTTAGCTTGTGGCACTTTTCCTTGGTGCGCTGGCGCAAATTCCTGTGCACTCGCATGAATGTACACAGAAGTGCAATGATTTTCGCTTAATAATAGATTAGACCTACATTTTCGATTTGTTTCTCGGCAAAACCTTACCGTATGCCTTCAAGAACAATTGGAGACATGTCTGAACCTTTTTTAAAGGTCTCACAATTCACTACCATTAAATGGACAAGTGCAAGCATGACTTTCTTTCTTTCTTTCTTTCTTTCTTTCTTTTATTTGTCATTTCTTCTTTTGTAATGAAAAATAGGTCATAAGGCTTTAGAACAACATCAGCTTGACTAATTATTAAGTGAATTCCCATAGGCAAGTTGTGAATGGGGTAAATAAGCTCCAAACGAGAGAGAGAGAGACCGCAAAATAAGGGTTACAAAAGTAAAAGCGCACATAGCTGATGTGGTGGGGCCCCATACCTCGAGTTTGCTTAGGGCCCCCAAATCATTAAGTCCGCCCCTGTATGAATTACATGAATCATGTAAATTATCGCTAGGAATGCACCAAAATGAAAATTCTTGGCCGAAGCCGAACAAAATTAAACACTGGGCCGAATACCGAACGCGGTTTTTCACATTTTTCCCCCATGTAGGCCTATTTTGTCATTGTTTTTTTCACCATTGCATTAATTAAATTGCCAAAATGTGCTTTTTACTGTTTTGTCCGGCTTTTCAAATAAAAAATCAATTACAAAACAACAATTTAAAAATGTTTACTTAACACTGAACATTTTTTTAAAAATTCTAGCAGACATTATACCAACAAAGCACAATT